TGAAAATGTATGTGTATTATCCTTAACATTATAAAAGGAGACAGAAAATACATAAAATAATCAATAGCTAATTGGTAAACATTCCTCAGCAAACAGAGCAAGTCAATGAAGCAGAGATGTCCAGGATGCTTTTCCTCCATATTGATTTTTGCTATTTAGCATTAGCTGAAATTAGCCTCTATTGCTTTCATTTCAATTTTCAAGATCCTAGGGAACATTTTGGGTCACTTGAGGGTCCCATGATGTGCCGAGTCACCATGAAGGATGATAATAGAACTCACGTAGGTCAAGTGGTAAAGAAATCACCAGAGATATTTTGCTGCAGAGTCATCTTACTTGGTCCAGCCTCTGAAAGTGTTCTGGTCATTGAAGTTCCTATAATACAACCTGCCTTCAGAGTTATCACCATTAACTGTGATGATCTTAAAATAGTGATACCATAGGTCATCCTTTGACAATCTTAAGGAGCCTTAAAGTTACTTGCAGTGACAATCTTGATTTCCATGGTCATCTCTGTGAATTGGGAAGGTTGCCATAAAAGGCATTTGTATAACCATATTTGGCATAAAACCATATTTGGGAATGATACCTAGCAATATCCATGCAATGAGTGGGATGAAGCTTTGTTTCATGTGTCTTACTGGGTTGTTGCTCCCTGTGACTGGGAGGGCCGCCTCTAGGTGAGTGAAAACCTGTACTTGGTCAGCTCTGAAAAATAGTATCTTTGTTTTCTGGTTGTCAGCTTTACTCACTTCAGAGAGGAAAGGTCTGTCTCCTTTACAAGCAGAAACAAAATCATCATACAATTATTCTCATTTAGCTATTATTTAGCATTAATTGGAACTTGGCATGCTGGGAAACTCGCTTCCTGGGGGAGAATTTTATTTTAGGCCCTCATAGACACTGTGTAATGTACACAGCACATTTGAGCAGCAATTTATTAAAAGTTACAATATTTTCCCTAGAGAATAGATTTGTTATTCACCATTAGGACTAGGTCCAGTATTTATGGAATGTTCACAAATGATTAATTATGTTTCATTTACAAATAGCCCCTAACGGGAGACATTTTTATTGTAAGTGCTATTCTAATGAATTGTCTGTCTTTATGAATTCATGTCTAAGACTGAAATAATTTCTTTTGCTTCCTTTCCCCAACTCTATACTTGAGCTTGCTGTTGCTTGTCATGTCTTTCCTCTTTCTTCTAACAGACTCATATGATCATCGTCTCAGTTGCCTAAGCTGGAGACCTTGGACATATCTGTGACTCTCACTCAACCTTCCATTCCATTTCCAACTGCTCACAATATTCAAATGGCTCCTTGTTGACTGTAGCATAAAAGCCAAATCTCCTTAATCTGATAAGCACGCACATTAAAATCCTGATAGCCTGAGCCACCATAGCATTCCAGGTACCTGCTCTTCATCAAGTGAACTATACTAGTTCTCACCATGAGATGATTTTCTTTATTTCTGTGCCTATCACCCTGTTCACGTTTTCTTTGCCCAGCATGCCCTTCTTTTTCTTTGTCTGCTGAGTGAATGCTTGTCTGTTCAGAAGCCAGCTCAAGTGTCACCCAGACCTTTCACTCTCTTCCCCCTTGGCAGGATCAGTACCTCTCTCATTTCTTATAGAACTGAATGTATACTTTATATTCCTTATTTATATGTACATCTCACTCATGTTTAACAGTAAATATTTTAAAGCTTCGGTATGTTTTTAAAATTTTTTGTGTCTTTCAAGTATACCATGTTAATTTAGCACATGATAAATGCTTGGTGAAGGTTTCTGGGCTAAACTGAAAATCCTGTTAAAAGAAGTAACAGAGCGAAGTAATGCCTCAGTGTGTATTCCATGTAAATACTACTTTGTATTCGATGATGGAGATGAAATGGATACAGATGAAGGAGAAAGTCTGATAGTACATCATACACATCCCCAACAGAGTAAATAGACATAGAGACATAGCAGTTTAGAGCACAAAGGTGTATCGGAGGTTACTAATAACCAGAAAAATAATTGATTTTATTTCATTTGCTCTCTCCTTGCCCTGTAGCCTTGGCATTTTTCATGTCATTTGCCTTGAAAAGCAGCTACCACAGTGCCTAAACCCTAGTAGATACACAATAAACATGTCTTGTATGAATGAATGAATGAATAAATGAATGGATAAATGAAATTATTTCAGCTCTTTCATCTCACAGATAAGGAAAAGAGACTCAAGATACAAAGAATAGGAAAGCAGAAACAACCTCTTTTCAAGCTGCTACCATATGCCCTACACTAAGCCAGGTGCTTTCGCCTCAATTATTTAATTTTATCCAATGAAGAAAATTGTACAGCCGTTATGTGAGATAAAGAACTTGAAGCTCACAACCTGTGCCCTATGATCACAGAAATTGGTTGTAACTCTTGTTCTTATGCTGTCTAGTGTAGAATCTTTCCTTTGCCACCTGCTGGCATGATATTCATGGACAGAAATATAACTGATTATTGGTTTTGGTGGGCAGGAATCTCTGATTTTTATAATCTGTATTGTTTAGATAGTAGCAGGTCAGTAAATATGGGGAGCTGGGATCTAGTGGCAAGATCACTAGAATTGAAGGCTGAAAACCAGAGTTCAGTTCCTATCTTGTTACCTTAGTTGGGGCGAGTCCTTTATTGTCTTGGAAACGTAGTTTTCTCATTTATAATGCAAGGCACATAATACCAACCTTGTGGAGTTCTATGGTGAACAGATGAATACTGACTATGAAAACACAGTTTGCCCACATAAAAAGAAGGTATTACTATTATGAAGCTTATGTCAGAATGAGAAAGTTTGTATAAAAAGGCTTTCTCAGCTGCACATTCGCTCTCTTTTGTTCCCTTTGTTACCGCTTTTTAATTTCACAGACATCCTAGCCTTCATTTGTGTAAACAGATGAGAACAGGATAAATAAGCATTTCTCCACTAATGTGATTTGTATACAATATATCAGATTAAATGAGCTTCTGCTTCTGATTTGTTTGAATTCACAATTCAACATAATTTAGTAATAGAGAAATAATAGTTAAAAAGACATCTGTTTCTTGTCATAAGCTTCTATTTTCATAAGAAAATCAAAAGAGTCCAAGAACAGGGAAAATAAGAAAACTAACATTACTGCACCATGGTAACTCTCTGGTGAGAAAAAAAAGCCACTGACAGTTTGTTTTGTTAATTACTGAAAATTCGACTTTTTAAATGTTCTGCATTAATGGTTGTTCTACACATACATTTAAAAATGAATCTGATCAAAAAAGATGTTGCATTTTTCAGTTTTATTAGTATTATCCTTTACCTCAAACAAGGTACAGAAAGGATCACTTGCCTTTGGTTGGTGACTTCATTTCTGACCTTTAACATCAATACTGCCTTATGATCATTTAACAAATTAGTTAAGACCTACACCTTTGCATTTTTATATAAATTTTTAAGTTAAAATAAATAAATCCACACAGTCAAAATAATAAGAGCAATTAAGACATATTTTCAATATATCCTTACGGTCTCTGATGGTCACACATTAGAGAGCACTGGGGTGTTAAGAATGAATAGGACCTGAAACTCATCGAATTCTGACCCTTTTCTTTCATAGTTTGGGAAATGAGGCTATGAGTGTCTGAAAAAAGGAGATAATGCTAGTTCTTGAGAACAAAGACAAAACAACAGCTCCAAGCTATCTTTTGAATACTCTTCTTACTGTACTAGATCAGAATATAATCAATTTTTACAAGTATAAGTCAGTTCTCCTTTATCCAAATAATATCAGGGAAAAGGAGGGGGGCTTGCTCAACACTTACATTAGCTCTTTGGATGTGGATGCTGATGGAATGAAGATAAGTATCTGGGAGAAGACTAAATAAATTGGATAATAGGAAACCTCAATAGCTGGGAATAATTGGCTAAGTCTAACAAAAGGGAATTTAACAGAGAAAGAAATACAAAATCTGCATTTAACAATACAAAAACCTATGGCACAAGTTCATCGAGTGGGACATATGGCTTAGCAGCAGAACATTTTTTTTTTTCAAAAGTGGCTGTTTTTATAAGTCATGGAACACTACATCAAAAACTAATGATGTAATGCATGGTGATTAACATAACATAATAAAATTTTAAAAATGCAAAAAAAAGTGGCTGTTTTTAAAGAACTAAAAGTTCTCTTAGTTTACTCTTGTCTTCTTCCCGAAAGGAATTGAACTTTACCTAAAGTGATAGAAGTTTACACAGAACAATGAAGACCCTCAATACCGTCTACTTATCCACCTACAATTGAAATTAGGGGTGTGGACACTGATAAACTGGGGCATGTAGAGGGGAAAGACCAGAATGTTAAGTTGACTCAGACCCAAGTATATTAGGAAAAGTTAAAGGTAGTTAGGTATGTCTCTCTGGAGAAGGGATAGATTGCCTTTGCTGTTTTAGAGAAATAGGGGGGAATGAACATGTAGTTTGTGATGAAAGAGGCTGAATGATGGGGTGGAAAGAATTCAAGATATAGTATCAGAAAGCATGAGTCTGAACTTTTGTGCCATCATTTACAAATGGTGTGACCTAGGGAAAATCTCTAAGAAAATGCATATCAGGTTCTTGATCTGTAAGGTGAGAGTAGCAATATTTACAATGCAGGATGGTTATGAAAGTTAAACAACATAGGAAAAATACCTACAGTGCACTGCATGCAGTACTCAAAAGAAACTGACCTTTCCACCACTTTGTCAGCAGAGTCACGAGAGATTTTTATTAGATTTTTATTAGAGGAGTATCTTGTATAGGGGTTAAGTGGAGATAGGAAGGTTAGGTGTACAAGATCCCTGCCAATGCTGTGTGATATATTTATATGTTGATCACCAGCATTTTGTTGTACTTTATGCCAGGAAAGATTGTTCTTTAAAACATTCCTTATAGGTTATATTGCCTTCTAAAGTTGTAACAAGTTTCCATTACTATATCTTGCAAAATTGCTTACTTACCTATACAGTGCAGAAAGGGGCCTCTTGTTTCCAGGTTTTGGTCTGTACGGTTTGGGTTCTCCTGCCATATTGATATCTAAAAGCAAAAAATAATATAGCACTGATTAGGAAAAATGAATCCATATGAGAAAAATAAATCATGAGGTTTTCTTTTTCCTTTTGCCATTTGCCTCTACAAATGTTGTATGACATTTATTTATTCAACGGTTATTTTTATTCAACCTACTCTAGCCCAGGCACTGTTTGAGCTGTGTCATGTACCAAACAGGTTAGCTCCATGCCCTCGTAAAACTTACTTTCTACTGGGGGAGAAATAGACAGCAAACAACAAACAAAATAAATAAGAAAAATATATAACATATTAGAAAGTGATAAGAACTATGAAAAAAGACTGTTGAATGAGGAAAGGAAATGAAGAATGTTTAGTAAAAATGAGAGAGAGAGGGACGCCTGGGTGGCTCAATCGTTAAGCATCTGCCTTCAGCTCAGGTCATGATCCCAGGGTCCTGAGATCAAGCCCTGCATCGGGCTCCCTCCTCCGTGGGAAGCCCGCTTCTCCCTCTCCCACTCCCCCTGCTTGTGTTCCCTCTCTTGCTGTGTCCCTCTCTCTCTGTCAAATAAATAAATAAAATCTTTAAAAAAATGAGAGAGAGAGAGAGAATGAGATATCCTTCTAAACTGGATTTTTGGCAGGAATGTCTCAGTTTGCACAGACATCTGCATGGAATAGAGCTTTGGACATAAGAGGAATTATTAATTTCCCATGACAATATCTTTCCATCTATGTAGAAAAGGAATGTGGAAGGGTGGAATTGTAGAGCATACCAAGTTTACTGAGGGAATAACACAATGCACTCAGCAACTAGAATGTGTAGTTAGAGTTCTGGGGTGGTCAGAAGAAGAGAGCACATCCTTGGCCTTCGTGAACTAAAACCATGATAAAATGTCTAAGATAAGACAATAAGATACTTAAGTACATGACAAAAGAGTATTTACATATAGTTGACCAACTTCTGTCTTAAAAAAATGTGTAAAACTGTTAAGGGGTTAGAAAGTTGGGTGACAAAGGTTTGGAAAATTACATAAAAACTAAGATTTAATAAAGTTAAAATTTCTAAAACATGATAAAAAGGAAAATCTAAAAAAAAGGCAAACTTCAAGAAAAGCTTTGAAAGAAGTGAGGGGCATTATTTTGACCGAAAAGAAAAGGAATGCTTCTCTTCCTTACAGTGGGCTAAATACCCTGGATTAGGGATGGATGAGCCACCCACCAGTGAAAACAACCAAAATTCCTACATAAAATTCAGCTGACCCTTGAACACTGGTGTGAACTGCACTGTCCATTTATATGCAGATTTTTTTCAATAAATACAGTACGGTGCTGTAAATGTATTTTATGATTTTCATAACATTTTCTTTTCTCTAGCTTACTTCTATTGTAAGAATACAGTATACAATACAGGTAACATACAAAATATGTTTACTGTTTCTTTTATTGGTATGGTTTCCAGTCAACAGTAGGCTATTAATAGCTGAGTTTTGGGGGAGTCAAACATTATATGTGAATTTTTAAAAAAGATTTATTTATTTATTTGAGAGAAAGAGAGAGAAAGAGAGAAGGAGTTGGGGAGGGGCAGAGGGAGAAGGAGAGAGAATCCCAAGCAGACTCCCTGCTGAGCGCAGAGCTCTACACGGGAGCTGGATCTCACGACCCTGAGATCTTGACCTGAGCCAAATCAAGAGTTGGCCGTTTAACCGACTTAGCCACCCAGGCATGCATGTCCTATATGTGAATTTTTGACTGCACAAGGGGTCAGTAACACCCATGTTGTTCAAGGGTCAACTGTAGAATGTATCTCTTTTTCTACACCTGAGTGAAAGCAGGAACTCAGATGGAAGTGGAAGACTGACTCTACCTTGTTCCTTGAAGACATTTGTTGGAACCAGAACTTGAGCTTTAGCTTTCATGTCCTTGTGAACTAGAGGGGGCAGGAGAGAGTGCCCACATTAAAGAATATGAACCATATAATCACTAAATTCAACATCCATGTGTGTTAAAATCCTTAATTAGGAAGAGATGGAGACTTCCTCCTTCTGCCTAATAAAGGATAGCTACAAAAAAAAAGAATCTCTAGAAAATGTCATACTTAATAGTGAAACCATGGCCACAGTTTCTTTAGTATCAAATAATTTATTTTATTTATTTTAAAGTTTATTTATTTTTAAGTAATCTCTACACCCAATGGGGGCTCGAACTCATGTCCCTGAAATCAAGAGTTGCATGCTCTTCCGACTGAGCCAGCCCCTGATATCAATGAATTTAAAAGGGCATTCACTATTACTAATTCTGTACAATGCTGTACTGGATTTCATAGTCAGTGAAGGAAGACAGGGAAACAGTATCAGAAATGGGAAGGAAGAAATGAAACTGTCATAATTGCTGATAATAAGTGGATCCACATAAACACTCCAAAGCATCCACAATTATTATAATCAATACAAGTTTAATAAATTTGTTGGGTTCAAAGCCAATGTACAAAAATCATCTCTACACAGCAATACACATTTTTAAAATATAATTCTAAAAGATGTAATTTATCTAGTATAAAAGTAAAGTACCTAGGGATAAATACATCATAAAATTTTAAAGATGTTTATAACAAAAATTATAAAACTGTATTGGAAGATTTTAGTTACCTTACATAAATAGAGAAATTGGAAACCTTGATATAACAAACATTTTAATTCTTCCAAAGTTGATTTATTGATTCCATATAATTTCAATAAAATCACCAAACATTCTTTTCATGTCTCTGTGGAGTTGGATAAGTTGATTCTGAAATTTATATGATAGAGCAAAAGGTCAAAATAACCCTTGAAAAAAAACCCAAAGGTGGCAAAGTTGCCTTAGCAAGATTTATTTAAAGCTGTAGTAATTAAGACTGTAATAATGGTACAGCTAGAAAATGAACCACTGCAACAGAGTAGAGGACCTCCAAACTGACACACACAGATGTGGATGTCTGAATTAGGAAAGAGGTGGCATAGCTGATCAGTGAGTAAGGATAGGCTTCTGAAGTTGTAATAACTGGTTGCCAGTTAGTGCAAGGACAAATATGAAATCGGACCTCTACCTTACACTATACAGAAAAATTAGTTACTATTGGATTAAGAACCTAAATGTGAGAGTCAAAAATATATAACTTTTAGGAGGAATGTAGTAGAATATCTTTATGAGATCAGAATATGGAAGGGTAATCTGAAACCAGACATAAAAAGCACTAGCCTTAAAATGTAGGATTGATAAATTCTACTACTACATTGCAATAAAATAAAAAGAATTTTTGCTCATCAAAAGTTACATAAAGACAATGAAAAGAAGGGCCACAAACTAGATGAAGAAATCCTTGAGAAAGGATTTCTTTCTGGAATATATAAAAAACATCATTTCATAATAGGAAAAAGAGACAAACCACCAAATAGAAAATTGGGCAAAAAACATAGGAGAGGCACTTTACAGAAAGATGAATGCTGAATAAACACATGAAAAGACTCTTAAACTCACTAGTAATGGAGAACTCAATTTTAGTATATGTGCTGCCAAGCAAGCATAGTAATGGAGAATTCAAATTAAAACACTATGGGATACAATTGATACCCACTGAATTTACAACAATTTACAAAGTCTGACAATATCAAGAGTTGGTGAGGTTTGAGAGCAACTGGAATAGGTGTACATTGCAGGTATAAGCATAAATTGGTACAATTATTTTGGAAGATAATTTATATAGTATATAGTGAACTTAAAATGCCTATGACCCAGGAGGTATGTATGTACCTGAAGAAACTCTTGCATATGTGCACCATATGTTATATACAAGAATGTTCATTGCAGTACACTAAGAAAAAAATTCTAGAAAAACACAAATATCCACTGATAGATAACTGGATAAACGAATTGTGATATAGTTACAAAATGAAACACTATACAACAGGGGGGAAAGAGACAGAGACAGAGACAGGGAGAGAGACAGAGACAGAGACTTAGAGCCACAGGCAAAAACACTGAATCTCAGGAACATAACACTGACCAAAAAATGATATCATGGAAAGACACTGACAGAATGAATCCTTTTATGTTAATAAAAATACAAATTTAAACAAATATTGCATAGGAATCAAATACATGTAATAAAATAAAAGAAGAGCAAGCAGAGATAAACAATGAATTTAGAATGAAGGTTACCTTTAAAGGGCAGAAAAGAATGTGGAACTTGGGTAGGACATCTAGGAGACTTGAAAATTAATTATAATGTACTATTAAGTGTGCACGTGTAGTGGGAACATGAGTTTTTAATGATCATTCTTTATAACTCTAATATAGTATAAATTTTATTTTGTATATACTTAATAACTAATACAAGATTAAAGAAAATGGGAACAAAGATGGTAAGTTGTGAATTGATAAATATTCAGGTCAGGGGTAGTGAGTTTTGGTGCACAGGTGGCTTCAGCAAAGATTGTGAATGAGGAAATAGCAGGAAAGAAGAGCAGTTGGGTGGGATTATTGGATCTGAGTAAATTAGTAGAGACCCCAATTAGAACTTTACATCTAATTTGACTGGGATATAATTTTGGGTTCCAAGTAGAGGACAGTTGTGAGAATGAATCATGAAGACAGTGACTCTTGTATGATTTGGGATAAGGCACAACCAAAGATCAAGGCTGTCTGAATCTTTCAGATGTGACAGAGTTGGAACAAAAAAGTGAGTGAAACAAAAGCAAATTTCTATTATTTTTATAAGGTTTGTAATGATGGTAGAGGACACATGTCCATGAAATATAATAAGACACAATGTGTGTGTCTCTAGCTCAGACTCCATGAGTCTCTACTATGAACTGAAAATGCATAACTATTCTCATAAATAAATAAAAAGCTTGAGACTTAAGTCTGTCAACACAAATACTGTAACACCTTTTTTAAAAAAAAAATATGGTCCTAGTGGTTCTGAAGATAAACTTAGGAGTCTGACAGCATACACATACAACAGAAAGCCTTTCATGAAAGGCTGTTAA